TTACATCTATATAATTCATCAATTTTAAAAATATTAGTTTATTCACAGAACCACATAAAAGGCCATCCAAAATCCCCTTTTATTAATTACATCTACGTTGGATGTGGTTCCTACAAAAGACTTTTGATTTATTTCTCTCTTACTGTTCCCTATGATTTACCTCTTGTGAAGTACCCATTAAAGGGTCGTTGGCACAAGAATGAGATTGGATGAACAGGATGCTACAAAAGTTAATTTGGTCAAATCAGCTGGTGATTAACCTAGTTCTCTCTTCAGGTGAGATCTATGGATTCTGGGTCTACCCACAAAACTGGTCAATTTTTAATCCTAGGGTCAGGCCTATCCTAGAAAGTCAACTATAAATAGATGTAAGGCCATTCAAAATGTACCTATTTTTTCACATACGATGCAGATGGTGTAAACTTTGGGAATTCTTAAACCTGAAGATATATATTCACATATCGGAGAACAAACTAATTAACCCATTCTAAAAAACCTCTTGTACAACTGTTGATACAACGCATGGAGAACTCTATTACATGAACCTTGTCCCAAATACACTGAAATGAAGACAGGTTTAAAATAAAAACACCTTCTAGCAACAGAAAGTTCTTGAATTTTTACTTTCCGTCTGGCAAATCCTTCAATTTGTGTGTTTATGATGAAAGCACAGTCTAAGCAAACAACCTGGGATAATATGTTCAAATCTTGTCCACATTTTTGTAACATACAAGTGGGAATAATGTCATGTATACATGGGGGGATTAACATAGGGTATTTAATGTGTATGGATACAGTCAGGGGGTTTTCTTACTGTTTGCATGGGGTGTCAATGTGTCACTTGCTCCACAAAAACAATTAAGAAAGGAATGTTGAAACCCCGAGCCAGTGACCTGCCAAAATAAATTTAAAGATGAATATCACACATAGACATAAATATTGAAAACTGCACAAAGGGGGACAACTCTTGATAATAATATTAAATAAATAAAATTTGTATGTTGGACAGCCAGGAAGCATGACTTTAGTTTCTACTTAAATATTAATAAGGCATTTGGAGAAAATTTGAATCTATGGCTGTATAGCATCTGTTAGATAGGGCTGATTGGGCCATAGTTCTACATGCGAGACAGTCACAGCACTATTTCCCACATTCATTATTGATGAGCTCCGGTGAATAACACTTGGACTAACTACCAGCTCAGAGCCACCTCATGTATTACTCACATGCCTCAACAAAATACCTTCCAAAAATCAATCAATCTGATTTTACCCAATGTTACTAATGTTTGATCATGTTAGTAGATTACCACACATGAAATATGCACAGGTTTGTATTTTTTGTACATGTATATTGTCTGCATAAATCTTATCAACTGGTACTAAGAAAACATGTTTGTTTTATTAACTGTCTGGATTGTGTCTGCAATGGTCTCAAAACAACCAAGGGATTTGTTAGACAGAATTTAGAATCAGGATAATAAATACTGATAATTGATATTTAACACATTAAGCACACACCTGACTTTCTGGTAATTAATGTTATTTACAGTATTTGATAATTATATTTTTATGATTTCATAATATTGATATTTAAATTCTCCGTGCTGATTTTTTTAAGGGTTTCTCAACAGAAATATTCTTATGTATATCATAGAAGTCTGTTGGCAAGGGAGAGGGGATCAAGGGATAAAATAAAATAGAATGAGAGGTGACATATAGCCCCATTTCAAAAATGATCTCCCTTGGTAGGGTGCTGAACCTTAATTTATTCATAACTGGAATGCCCTTTTTTTTACTTTTATTTACAAATGGGGAAAATAAATTTTAATGGAAAAAACTTGACTCTTTATCTTGAGTTCTTTAAAATTTGTAGAGAGAGAGAGAGAGGGGGGGGGGGTGAGGAGAGGGGCTATAGAGGTACCTATAAGGCAGTAGTTAATTTCTCACTTGATTAGCTGTAGTTTCACCCCCTACTATGCCCCCTGCTGGTGACTATAGGAGGTGTTACTGGAACACCCTGAACACTGCCAATAACTGTCAAAGCCTTAGGTATACCTTGTCAAACAAGACTTGCATAACAATTTATTCTCCTCATTTTCATAGGAACAGGAAGACTTGCATAATGTAATGGATTCCCTCACCTATAGATTAACTTCCTTCAAAGGTTGAAAAATCAACACTTTAAATTATCAAATTATTATTACAGCCACGACAAGTGTAAGGGGTACATAATAATACTTTATTTACAAGATAATGGATGTCAGGAAATTCCCTTCAAAGACAACCTGCGTCTTTGAATTCATTTCCTTGTTTTTCTCCATCACAGTAAATATAATCACAACCTGAGGGTGTGTGTACAGAGCTAGTAACTAAACTCTAACAGGTTTATAAATATAATCAGCTATACAGATATAGTAATCATTCTGTGGAGAAAATCACAGAATTGCTGCATTAGCAAAGTGGATGTTTGCAATTAAGATGGGAGGTCCCAAATATCCTTCCCATAAAACTATTTTAGTAAATATATTTATTTCAGTAATGTACTTCAACTATAGAAAATATTAGGGGTGCAACGATACACTAACCTCATGATACGATACGTATCACGGTATTCAGTTCACGATACGATACGTATCACGATACATAACAAGGTTAAAAAGTCTTTCAAGTTTGTCAAATTGTCATCATATTTTTTTTAAACTTGACAGGGTTATACAAATGTTCATATTTTTTAATAATAATTAAAATAAATCTTTGTTAACTTGAATTGGATTGTTAGGTAGATCTTTGAGTTGTGTCAACATTCTAAACCAATGATGAACATTTACAAGGAACTACGGGGACCTTTCCTAATAATCTTCCTTTTAAATTGGAATGAAAAAGGAAGACTTCATTCTTTTATTCCTTTTATTTACGTAGAAAACCAGTTTTCATATTTCTCGTGTTAATACGTTTTAGTCAACAAGACAGCGAATTTTCATCGAAATTCACACGTGATGGAATATCGTGTATTACCAAAGAATACGTTTAGATCTAAAGGGTTTATCATTTGTCTTAACATCTATAACTTATAATCACATTAGGTCCCTCTCCGTGTTAAATGTGAGGTCTGTAAGATGCTGGAGATGAGTTTAACTGCTGTAAAAACATTATCGGCGACCTCACGTTTTGCGCGGAAGCCATTATGAAATATTAAAGAAAGAAATAAAACGGACAAAACGGATAATTCTGGACCGATTGAACCGAGCCGCGATATCAGTTTAGCGTATCGTGAATTGAACCGTGGAAAAATATACCGCGATATACCGTCAAACGGTTTATCGTTGCACCCTTAAAAAATATTAACACAACATTTAATTGTTTAAACACACACTAAAAAGCAAAACAGCACTAAAACTTTGATTCAACAATCAAAATGAATTCCTCATCCATGTATTCATGACAACAAGGTCGTGACCCTGGAGAAATCAGCTGTTTACACCCTCCCCCTCCAACCACAGTTGAACTTCCCAATGGAGAGCTAGCTCTTTTGTCAAAGCAATGGCAGATGTTTCAACTCTCACAGATTTACTTGACCAGTAATAAATTATTTAGTTTTGTGTATTGTGGTGTGTTTGGCGCAATCTGGGGTTTAAAAATAAGACCGAACCCTTTGAATAATGCCCCTCCCTTTATAGCCTCCGAAGTTTCATTTGGATCTTTCAGCACAGAACATAGTCTACCTATCTGATGCCTATTTATGAATATTGGAAGCTGCTATTACACATCCTTTTTTTAAGCCCTTGGCAGAATAAGGCTTTAAAAGCCATATTGTGATTGATTTTGGATAAATTCTTTAGAATTACCCACAAATAAAGGCCATAAATGATGTTAACATAAGGTGAACCAGATTTCCTCAATTTTTATGATTGAGAAAGAAACGCCTTTCAATTAATTATTTTGCTATACCATGGCCTATTTTTAAAGTATCTTAATTACCATGCTAAATAATGACAACCAATACCATGTATTGTACCATATTCAGACCGTTTCCAGATAAAATTATGGATTCATCACGGATTCTTATTCTTTTTGTGATAAATAAGTTACAGCCTAATCAATTCCAAAACACAATTAACTCACTGATGCAATAAAGCATACATATTTAAAATAAATCCACAATTTTTTAAAATTCAATATTTAAAAGTATTTTACATTCTTTCATAAAACTATCAAAGGAGACACTGCACTAAATAAATGAAATAAGAGCAAGTGATCTTCACGTATGTTAACTATTGTGTTACAAAGCTATGATTAATTGATAATAACCAAGTAATTATAAGAGATATGTATTAGTCTCCAAGCCTAATCTTTGGTGACAAACTTTATTGACTTATGTCACTTCAAAGTGTTACCCACTTTCAAAGAATGTTTGCAGTACCACTGGTATTTCGTGGGCCCATTATTTAATTGATGTATCTAGGGGATCAATGCAGTAGATGTATAAATAGACGAATAATTTGTATGGAACCAGCCAACCACATCCCAGACTAAGTCAATGATTCAACCTTTTTTTCTGCATGATTCAGTGTTTCTGCCCTGGCCAGAGAAGAGTCACTTCATACTCAGAATAACTGACACAATTACCGGTATTAGATATACTTCCCTATATTTGGGATCCTCTCTATAGTTCTAACAATCTGGGAGGGAAATTAATGCTTGATTAGGAGGAGGTCAAGATATGGGGTACCTTTTATAAATAGACTTTCTGAAATCCATATAATATTCCTACACATTGTGTCATACATGTACTGTTCATTTATTACTAAGAATTTTAGCAAATTGAAGAAAGTGCTGATCAAGATCAAGCACAAAATTTCTGAATCCTGAATCGTACAAATAAAAAAAAACAACAAACCATAAAATTCATGCTATCCTCTCAACTAGTCCATTAAAATCTTCAAGGAACTCTTCTGTATATTAATTCATATCCCAAGAAAACACAGTAAATTCCATATCTGAAATAAAAACAATGAAAATGAAATGTAATGTGATAAATACTTTAAAATATATATATTATGCATATCAAAGTAATAATTTATCTCATTTTGAAAATTTAAAAAATGGCAAAACACCCTTAGGCCTCCCTCTCCTTTATTTTGCAAGCAAATGTTTTAAATTTTTGTAACAATCACTTTGTATCAATCATTTCTTTAAATTCAAATTTAATGCTTTAAATTTTTTCAGGCAATTACAGAATGCAACTTTACAGCCCCCCCCCCCCCATTTTTTAAACAAATGAAAAAGCTGCTCCCATTCACTTTGGGTATTTAAACATGAATATCATAGTCTATCATTTCCTTTGAAGTCCATTGTATTCATAATCAATACACTATGTATATATGTATGACAATAGAACTATTCTGTAATCATACAAAGTCATTGTTCACATTATATTCAACCAAATTTTTACCATTTGCTGAATTTCATATCTAGCCAATTAGCTTAAAAACAAGATAAATGCAATTATACATCTGTGAACAGTTTAAAGAACTGAAAATGAATATCTCTGAAGTTCTGAGTGTATATAAATGTTAGAATGTCGTGAAACTTTGAGAAAAATGCACATCTAAAGAAAATAAGGTCTCCTTTTTTTATTACAGTTTATTTGATCATTACATGGTGAACTTCATCGTCCAAATCTAAGCATCTGTTTTGATGTTATCAACATAGATTGAGAGGAAAATGAAATGAATAGGGTTTACAAATTACAACCTATTTTTCCTCATTCAAATCCCCAGATGTTTCTTGAAAACATCATTCTTAGATAACTTGGAAAAGGATTTTCTTCAGTAATTTGCTGACGACACGATACCATGTCTCATTTCATTTTTTTAACAAGAATAAATTGCACACGGGCCCCCTGAAAGGCTTGATATTAATTCTTTCAACTAATTTCTTGATAAAAAGCAAGCTTCCTGTTTTTATGGTTGGAGTTTGCTATTAGTTATGCATGAATGAGCGCATCTCCAGTTAATGTGACAGACTTTTTATAATAATACACATTTAGATGACTCTTCAATCAATAATTCATTGTTAATGGCAATGTTATTAGCAATAATTGATACCACAAGAGAGACAACTCCTTTTACTGTTTGAGAATTTCACAAAATACACCAACCCTAATTCCACTGTGAAAGAAATAATGAAACAAACCATTTCTAAATAGATTGGTCCTTCTATTCAAAAATTTATTTTTACATCAAATATTAAATGCATACTTTATGATACTCATTAATCAAAATATACATAAATAATGTCACCAAAGTGTAACAGCTTTTGAAAGATTGAAAGCCACTGGAATTTTGTTGGGAAAAAAAAAACAACAAATAAAATTAATCATCAATAAATCTTATTTTGAAAATAAATATTTGAAATACATGTGTTGCCTGCTGGAATAACCATGTAACAGGCGGGTGTCATATCTAATCATCAAATAAAAGGAAACGCAATGCACCCTTCTATCATATCCTCTCATAATCACCACCTGTTACCCAATTCAAATTACAAGTCCTTTTTCTACCTGTCCCCCAAAAATCTAACAGCTTGTACCTTATACACAATAAATTCAAATATCGAAATTCAAAAATAAAATCTAGATAAGTAAGGCCCAAATTTTTAAAGTGACCATCTGTCACTTGTTTATTTAGTTCTCAATACACGCATACTAGACCCTACCAGCATGAGTATAACAATTGCCCTTTTTTTTCAAATTGAAAAGACTGATTGAATTTCAATACATCACAAATATAGATTTTTAATAAATGATGAAACTTAAATAGATTTTATTTTAATTTTCGATATGGATTTTGTCTCAAATAAAATACAGAGGTAACTCAATTCAATATAGTGTTTCGCTGACTTTTTAAACTACGCAAAGCACTTTAAAAGTAAAGAAACAAAACTGGAAAAACTGTTAAGAGATTTGACTAGTAATTTTTTTTCTTCTCTATCCTTTTTACAAATTACTGAAGTCTGCCTTCTTGGAAGCATATAAGATAAAACAAGTTAATTCTCTCAGCTGAATATTCAATCATTATCTTATGTAGAAGATTTCAATATGAAGACCAAGTCCGGCTTGTGTTAAAAATGGTTTATCATTTTTACTGAAGGTCATTTCTTAACAATATTAAAGCTGTGTTTTGTTGATAATTGATAAATGGAAGGAAAACCCTGCCCTAACTCTCTAATCCCCAATTCATGACCCACAGGTGTGACAAAGTGTGTTACCTCCATCCGGTAGATAATGGCTAAGTAATAGCACAGGTGACATCATCACCCAGGTTTCTGGTTCTCAAAAGATATAAAGACTAAGCCCTCCAACATTGCTAGAAATCTCTACTTCAAATTTGTTGGACTTATCATCCCATTTTCTTGTTTCCAGTCAATGATGACCCAAACTCGAAACTCTGATTTTAGATATTTCATAAAATTAAGTTAGAGCTTTTTGATCCTTTTTTTAATTATTTGAAAGTGAGACCAACTCAAAGCATCTCAGTTAAGGGTCTGCAGCGTACAGTACTTGACATTTCTGATGTTACGTGCCTCTTTTAAAAGAGAATTTCAAAGTGTGTTGCATCAAAGTCATCAAGTTTCCTTAAGAGGTGGGTAGTGTACACAGTGCATGCATAATCCAAAATGCACAACTTCTATTTGTTACAATACTTAAAGTGAATTCTATCCCTTTATGGACCCCAACATTAGTAGAAACACAAACAGATGTCAAAGGTAAACAAACTGTGTTAAAAACTAGCCCCCACCGGAATAACTATCAGACAGTTGGGAGTCAGACTGACTTATAATAAAACAGGCCACCACTTCTTATCACCACTAAGACTATACTGAAATTTTCATTTCTAAAATTCACCACTATTTAACCAAGTTTCAATATAATCCATTGAACTTTTCTTCAACTCAGTAAACCATGATCAAATCAACAGTAGTGTGGCAAATGCTATTCGACATAGCTTTCAAAATGTTTTCCCAACATTTTGCTATGAGAAAACACCAATATTTTCTTCCTTAGACTATACAACAAATGTTTCTATTCCTTCCACACCTTGAACACAGACAGAACCTGTAGAGAATTATTTATAACCTAAAAACGATCTTCCCAATCAAAAATTACGCACTCAATCACAGGCCTAGGCTATTTGTTTTTTTTATTCCATTTCTATCTTGAGGATTTCTTTACTGGTGCATACTTCTAAGTGCACCAAGGTAATAACCTATTCTGTGACCTTCTTTTTAAAGAGGCTGTGCGAGTTAACATGAAATGACTGGGAATACATGCATTTTTCATGATAAAGACTGTCCTCTCGAGATATCATACGCATTGATAAATGTATTAATTCTCATAGTACTTCAATGGTTAATATATGATACAAATTTTTCAGATCCCTTTGAATGAGAGACTAGATCTCAGATTTTTGTCAGTACATGTAGTAATTTTATTTCATCAAGTGTAGAAACCTTTCATATTGCATCTATAAATGCTAAGAAACAGATGATATTTTGTGGCAATCTCAGCACCTGCTATTCAAATCAGCTACACTGTGATTGGCTAATTCTAATCCTCTTCAATCAATTTTAAAATTTCCATATAGCTGTTCATTTTCTTATTCCTGAGTAGAAATTAAAAACAAAATGCAAAATATATATATGGCACCAAAGCCACAGGAGCAAAAATTATTGCATTCTAAGAGTATATCTATATGCATCACATCAAAATAATTAGCTTGTTGAAAACAAATGTTATTTTCATACAAGACAGCTGGAAAAATATAATCAAGAGCCATGTTTCAAGGAATTAAGACTTAGCAAAAGTAAACATCGAGGACATTTTATCTGCTGCTTGCTAATTTATGGACAGACAGTTGGGAATATTCTGCTCACCATCTGTCAATGAAAATGGCATTTCCTCTACTTCTGCACACGATCAGCTTAGAAAATTTTTCGTGTCAACTCTGAATTCCTTCTAATTTGAATTCTAATCAATTGACCTCATCAGTTCAATGCACTAAAGCTTGTGTACTAGAAGGAAAAAAAATCCATAATTTCTATTTTTAATTAATCTGGCCGTTCAGTTTTCTACATTTTTGATGAAGAATTAAAAGTTTTCAGATATGATTAGAATTCATATGTATATCAGTCAAAAATTGACTTGATAAAAGTATACAAATTTGAGAAATCAATAAATACTTATAGACGTTACAGAGACAAAATATCTGTTAACTAAACAACTAGGTAATGCCCATGGCCGAAAGAGAAGCAGACAGCAGGTGAATCTGGTAAATGCAAGTGTTTTAATTACAAAAACTCAAGTGCTTTCAACTCTTAATGTTCTCAGAAATTATTTTTCTTGAGTTTTTGCTTACACGTTCCCCCTAGTGTGCCTACAGAGAACATGTGTCCCAACATGGAGTCGATGTCCTAGATCTTCCTAGTTTTTCAAGAGGCTGATAAGTGGGGACCACAAAGACATCTGAAAGCCATCAGTACCACCCATCTCCCCCCTTCTAGCTTCCTGTTTGTGTATTCTACCGGTACACCATAACATGCTGCTTTCAACATAATATTCATATCCACACACAAGATTATATCACTTCCTGTCATCTTTCACCCAATGTGATTCCCCCAAATTAAGACGGAAGTAGAGAATTCTACTTAGGACTCTTGAAGTGTGATACAGATATATATTTTTTATATAACTGTCCTATTTACAGAGAGGGGAAATGACTCCTTTGCAACTTGTCCAATTTGTACCCTAGTTTCCATCCATGACTCAGAGCTTCATTTTCAATAAACCTCTCGCACATAAAAGAATTCTTCATGAGATTTAAATGATTCAAAGTGCTATTTCAATGTGAAAAAAATAAATAAATTGAAGACATTTTATCATTGAAATACTTGACATATTTGAAGAATGAAAAATTCTGCAGGTTAACTAAATGATCTC